GAAGAGCTGGCATGCCGGACTACCCTCTCCAAACTAGATCACAAAACCCGCCCTGTCCAGCCCTCTGACAAACACAAACACGGATCTCAAATGTGAGCTATTTTACTCTTACGACATTAGACAAGAAGTGAGGAAACAGGTGTTCTTGAAATGCAACTGTCTGACAAAGTGTTAGTTTGTACTGCAGATTATAAACTACTAAACCACAACTGAGGCCAAGAACCACATCCTGGCTGGTAGAAGAGAACCAGACTCGGCTGAAAAACTGGTCAGTGCAGTCAAACACATGACAAAACGAGATTGCAAAACTAAACGTATGATGTATGAATGGAGGGGTGCCAAAAAGTGTTGTGCAAAAGATTATTTGATCATTTGTTCATTAATACTTTTGAAACCACAGCAGCTACAACAATTCTGTACTGAGCAGCATGTTTGTTGAAGTCTTCAGAAAATCTGCCTTGTAGAAATTCTCTGTTTAGTCATAACAGGAGCAATAGAACTCCAAGGAGGTTCCTTATCATTGGAGAAAAGAAAACGCTCCACTTCCCGTGTCAAGTTTCACATCCACACAGCACAAGCAATATTCCTCAAAAAGTGCAAAATTACATAAATGCAGGAAGTAAGCATATCGAAACCAGTGAGTCAGGTCATATGACTTTAGAAGTTGCAGAACTTCAGGTAGTGGAAATTTATTGTGGGCTCCAGTGGTTCCTTTAGTTACAAAAGCAAACGTTACTGAAGATTCCTTCTGAGACATCGGAGAGCAGACTGCGGTCATCAAATTACAGCCAGTCATGCTCTGCACAGTTCCAGAAGGAAATCTGCCGTAATGGCTCAGCATTCTGCTTTTGGAGTGTTGCACTCTGAGGTATAGAATGAGGCTTATGGTTAGTCAAATTAGAAGCTTGCATACTCCCTCAGGAAAAATAAAAACATGCGTTTTTAGAAAACGAGTGCATTTATGACTTCCCTTGGAATTAGGGAAGGAAGCCTGAGAAGGAGATTAAAGCTGAATCATCAAATTATTACTGACAAGAGACCCACTGTCAAGTTTTCTATCCAAACTTAGGCAGTGAAATGCAAACGGAAAAACTGACCGCCAATCAACTGAAACGCTCCAATAAATCAGTAAATCATCTGATGATGGCACAGGATTTCTGCTCTTTTTGGCCATTAATGTACATTACTTTCCCAGTAGTTCCAGATAAATGAATAAGAATTTGAAGTAAAAATGTTACTTTAAAAAGCAATTCCTAGCTTACCAAGATTATTTATTTATCACTTACTTATGCTTACATTTCATTGTACTTTTATTAATTGCAACATTCCATGACGCATTTAATATTTAAGAGTGTCTATGTGTAAATAGCCCGCCTTGTAGGCAGAGGCTAACTCTTGCCACCAATGTCTGGTTGAACCAGACAAAATTACACCCATCTGATAACAGGAATTTTGCAAATCTGGCTTTTACCCAACTCATTGCATATCAGCTTGAACTTGGAAAGGAGTTTATTTAAAATAAGAAAATACTTAAAAAGTGGAAATAAAGTGCCTAACGGATATATAATAATGAGGATAAAGAGTTGATCGGTAGGGTTAAGTGTAATGGACTTAAGTGATAGGGATAAGTAATGCCCCAATAAGGTAGCATCCATTTATGATTTTAATATCGACTGAATATATCGTTATTGCATACCGTTTTATAATATAGGCCTACTACAATACAGCAAGGTGCAAATAGTATCTGCCATGATTTGGACTATAGCATCTAACAATTATTTACACTTAGTGCAAATAGCATCTAATTACTACTTACACTGTAAAAAAATATTGTTGGTTTAACTTAAAATAATAAATAACCTAGTTGCCTTAAAAGTTTAAGTTCATTGAAATGGAAAAATTGAGTTAATACAATGAAGGAGATTAATTTAATCACCAGAAACTCAAAATATTATGTTATCTGAACTACATAAATTATCTAAGTTGGTTTGACAAAAGAAAAAAATGTTGTGATTACGAATCATGAAAATATTTTTGTTTACGGTGTAGACATGGTGCAAAGAAAATACTGCTCTAGGTTATCTAAAATGTGGTATTGCTATTTGCACTTAGTGCCTTTATATCTTTATTATATTAATTTATTGAATTAAGTTGGTCAGTTAAATATCTGCATACATAACTTTATATAATTAAATTATAATTCATTATTAAAAATTGAATCACTTTTGAACATTTTATTAACTTTAATAAAAGATTGCATTACTGTTATGATGAATGCATTATTTGACCAAAAAAAGTCAAGTTTTTATTATTGATTGATTTCCATGACCGGGCCTGAAAATCACATTTTTACCTGATATTTCCCTGAACACTGATGACAAAGAGGACATGTGAGCTGTGCACTGGGAAATCTACAGCTATAATTACTATCATACACATCTTCTACAGCTATAATTACACATCTTTATAATGACTGTATTACAGCTCTTGAGTTCAGCAGCTTCTCTTTATTAAACAGAAGCTACTGTCTAAAGTGCATTGTTTGCGGTGATAGTTCCTCTGCCCTTAAACTGCCTCGTTCACCGGAACAGTATTAGATGAGCAGCATTGGAATCTTGGAAACTTTCCATTTGTAGTTTGTTACTTGCTTCATAACACTTTAGAGATAAGCTGAACAAAAAAAAAAAAAAAAAAAAAAAAGAAGAAGAAGAGGAAGGAGGAAGAGAGAATGTAGCTGCTGTTTATCTATTGTGCTGTATGGCCGTGAAAAGGGATGCTTCTTCTTCTTAGACTGAGAGTTTGCAGCCTGCATCACCCTCTGTAAAGAGCCTCATAATTGACTCTATGAGATCAGCAGAATAGTGAAATGCAAGCACTGATAGCAATTCATATAACTACAACTGGCTCTTCCTTCACAGTCAATCATCTTGTTGATGCGTTCACACTTTCCAGTTTAATTCCATTTACTAATCTGGAAAATTGAAGTCCCCTGCTATAAATAAATCAACGGTCTCCTGAAAGGGCTTGCCAGTAGCATCTCTGAGAGGTGCGCACCATCTGCCAGATCACTGCCTGCCCTCTACAATTCAAGTTCCCTTAAAAACAACCACTACTGACCTGCAAGTGAAAGCTCTTTTCAAAAAGCCATACTTCTATGAATGAAAGGACATGTCCCTTTGAGTAAAATAAACTAGCTAACGTTACTGATGTCGTGCGTATCCGCTCACATTGCAAAGGCGGAGACCTCCTCCCCCCAGCGAAGCACCACCACCGCTGCTGTAAAAGACCATTTTACCTTTAATCGTGTTGATCACATTGTTCCCGTCCTTAATGACATCTTTTAGGAACTTGTTGGATTTTTCCAGCTCGTTTTCGTAGCATTTCAGTCTCTCTCTGAAATCTGGGCTGTCGGAGTAGCAGTCGCTGAACTCCAGTGGAGGATGCCCCATTCTCAACCTCTGAATGATCAACGATGATAACCGGCCTTTTGTTGTCAATAAAGTGAACAAACCACGACAGACGTGCCTTTTGATCACTCGGCTGGGTTAATCAAGTTGATTTCAACTAAGTTAACGTTAATCGGATTCGATCAAGTTCCCCATATTTGACATATTGTATGATATGCAGTTAATAAAAACAATAATCCAACGCTAGTGACTGTCTCCGTGTGCACGCGGTATTGAGAAAAAGAGACGAAGTCAATTTAAATTGCAAAGTAGGCTAAAACTTAAAAGTGCTGATAAAGTATTTGTGTTTCAATACTTTTCCTTGTTTTGGGAGCCGAGGGACTGACAAACGCGGGCAGGGCTACATTCTGAGCACTCCCACATCATTGGGCGGCAAATGTCACTAGTTAGCAGCTAAAACTATTACTACTTTCCTAGACAGAGAGTTTTCTTCCTCTGGGGGGCGCATGGGGGCCCACAAAGGGAAATCCTCTATTGAACATCATTTACATCTCAGGATGTATTTTGTATTGCTGCAGACATTTATAGGCGGAAAATTAGAATCATTCAAATCTATTATTTGCAATCATTGGTACTTACAATACATTTGGAAACATGCCTCTACAATCACTATTAAATTATGAATTAATAAACGCGGTCTCAAACAATCATAAACGACTATTATTGGTCTACACCTTACAGTCTATGGTCTACAATGAGCGGCGCTGGAAAAAGTAACATTTACCACGTGACATGCCGCTAACGTTGCATGTGAGCCGCATGTGAGCGGTGAGTGATTATCGTGCTTGTCGAGACAAACATCCGGGCCAAAGCCCCGCCTATTTAATATGTAAACTCATGCTAGTTGTCATTCTACCCGCACGTTGTATTTCTAAACCCACACTGACTCCGACCCTTAAAGAGACCGACACCGTTCTTCTGATCATATATTTACAAGCTACAATACAAGGCATTTTTTGAAACTGTTAATAATTTCAAAGCTTTGATCTGTTTAAAACATAGATATTAAAGACATTTATTATTACTATTATCTTAATAATAATAATAATAATAATAATAATAATGCTTTAACCACAAAAAAGTACAGGGGAGCAAAGAAAACAAAACAAATAAAAATATAATAAATCCAAAAAAAAAATCATTTTTGAATTATTCACATTCAAAAATACAAGACCGTATTTTTCAGTTAGTATCGATTAAATATTTTTAAGACAGTACACAAATGAACAGTCGTAATAGCTTTTCCATTAGTACTGGATTGAATTCATTAATGAAGTCATTTAAAAATGCTTTAAGAGATACTGAGAAATGGGCTTATTTTTGTTAGAAATCTTACACTTGATGTAAAATTTGACAAATAAAATTAACAAATGAATTACAAAAGCCTCCCTATTCACACAGTTAATTATATATTATATTATATTATATTATATAAATTATATTTTCAAAAGGCAAAACAAAATTAAGGAGTACCTTTTCCCTTAACCTTAGACAACTCATGTTGGCGTTTTTGACGTCACATGGTGACGTATCCGTATCCGTGTAAAGATGGCGGAAGTTGATGAGTCTAGCAAGCCTCTGGTAAGAGAGAAACATTCTTTAAAACATCTTTAAAACGCATTGTCAGCTTTTGTACCGTTTTAACTTTTGTATGTATGGTAAATGGATCCCGGGTACTGCTTGGTAATGTAATGTAAATGTGTCAGTAAAGCTCTGCTGTGGTAATACCATAGGGTAATACGTGTTAACTAAATGCAGATGGTCGTTTCTCAGCACAACATAACAAATTTACTACCTTAAAGATTTTTTAAAACATCACCCAAATTACTATACTGATATATTATCTGATTTTGTGGAAAACAGGATTACGTCTTTTATCGTACAGTGTTAAAAAGACTATGTAAACAGTGAGAGTGGAACAACACATGAAACTGTTGTCGTCTCTCTCTCTCTCTCTCTGTCTCTCTCTCTCTGTCTGTCTGCCTGCCTGCCTGCCTGCCACGCTCCTATAAATATTTTAAATGTTTATTTACTCGCTTTATTAGTACAGAGACTTTAAATTAGATTGTAGTTCTAGATTTCAATCAAGAAATTATATATTTCCATAATTTGATCCTTATTTATCATTTAACGATCTCAACACAGATATAGTTACATTTCTTGCTTTATTTAACATTCTATTTCTGCTTGGTAAATGTATTTACTGTGATCCTATGGGTCTTGAAATGAGGCTTCAGTCCATTACAATAGGTTTTACTGAAATAAATTCTCAAGAACACGTCCCTGTCACCTCCTTTTTCAAGAAATAGATAGTGTACAAATTATCATCAGTAAATTATATAATTCATATCTTGAAATAGTCTACTTCTACCATTCATTTGCCTGACTATTGTTTTCTTCTTGATTAATTGAAATCAACTGAGAGCTGAGACTATTCATTTGCTACAGTAACTGTCACTTATGAAGAAAACAGGAACACTTTATCACATATCTAGCGCAATTATTAAGTTTGAGCTATTAGAAGTGCTTTCTGTTAATTGTAATTGTTTTTGTTTTTTTACCTCTATTAGTCAGTCAACAACACACAACCCATTATAGATCCTGCATGGACCACCAGTGAACCACATTTTAAGAATCACTGGCATAGATAAATATGAACTTGTGTTTGGGGTAAATGCCATGATGAGTAATTTAAACAGTCATTCTTCATGTCTCAGTTTGCAGGTTTGTCTGACATCTCAATTTCAGAGGACATCCCAGTGGAGGGAGATATATCTGTGCCTGTGGGCTCGCAGAATGCTGACAATGATCTCTCGACGCTGGATGAGCCTGTCAAAGACACTATTGTAAGTGAAACCTTTTGTTACAGGGTAGTGATATATTGGCATGGATGGGCAGTGCACATGTTCAAACATTTTGTGTGGATAATTGTAATGAGGAAAACTATTCTAATTGCACCAGTGTTATTTGTTTAATAAAAATTAAAATAAAATTAATAAAAATAAAGCTGAAAGAAAATAGGCTTAGATGAAAAGACAAACCATATGCAAACTCATAAGTCAACACCATTGCTGAGTGTTTTCTCCTTAAAACTGCAGTGAACCAAAGACAGTCTCAGAAACAAGCATGTTATAACCCCAGTCACGTCAACATGCGGGCGGGCTTTAGCATATCAACATTACTGTGCTGTACGAAGCAGGTTGATATGAAAAATCGGGTACAGTTAGCAATATAGTGGGTAAATTGAGAATATGTTGTATATTATGATGTATAGGAGCCGCCACTGGCATGTCACATGACCTGGCAGCCAGTCTGATTCTAGCATGTCACGTGACACTGACGTGTCGGTGGCTGGCAAGTTGTCTGGCAGTCTGCCTTTGCCAAGTTTCAGAAACAATTGATTTTTGGCTGTTTTTGTGTGTTCTGTTCCTCCCTTTCTAGCTCATTTATTATGCAACTGTTGATATAATTATGTTCTTTAGTATGATTGATGTTTTGGCGACTGTTATCCCAATTAAACAAGTCAAATGTGCCATGATCAGACTGGCAGCTTACTGACGCTTGGCTCGATGCTCATGGAGTCAGCAGTGGCTCATCTGCAAGTATAATGTGTTGCCTGACACTCTCGCTTCAAGGAAATAATGTGTTCTCTTACGAGAGGTTCTCTCATACTGCGTAATATCTTGCGCTAGGGGAAAACCTCTTTTCCACGAGATTTTGAAGCCAAAAAATATCCTTAATTTTGAATTAATATAAAACGCGTTGCGGCAGCATGCAGACATAGGCAAGGCGGCTTGCATGCCTATTGGCTGTACTGCGGCAACTGCAGCAGTCTATCGAGAGAGGCCCTTGGTGACGTGCCACTATGTCACGTCCCGCCGAGACAAGCGTGGCCTGGGCCTATAAATACAGCTCGATGGGCAGATATAATCTGGTTTTTCATCTCTTCAGCGAAGCTCACGCATCACTGGATCCGGAGTGAAGAAGCCCGCGCTGTCTGAGAAAAAGCTTTCTCCAGGACGAGCGCTTGCATCTGAAGCCACTGGCCTTCATCTCACCGCCTTCAGTTGCCGTACCTGCTACGATTTCCGGCATTTATATACTTTTACGTCCGTTTCACATCGCATGTGGCAGTGGCGCATGAGCAACGCATATTCGGCATGCATGTTAATCAATGAGTGCATTCACACCACGTGAGCAGCACTGAAGCGCGGGTTTCGGCGGAGAGTCTATTTTTGCTGCGCTGCTGACGCTCAATTAAAGTGAAAGCACACTTTTGATGGACAAAATAAAAAAGATTTCACACAAAAAGTATTCAGAATGAGCATGTGTGCTGTGTTTTAAGAACTGGACTATTGTCAAAAAAGAAATTGAAGATTAAAAAAAAAATATTTGTTGAAGATTTACCCATTTAAACTTGTTTTAATTATTCCGTTCGGGTGAAAGTATGGTTATGATTATAAAAAATAGTGCATGTGGGCAGCTGTGCAGCAATATGATGATACAAGGCTGATCGTGGAAGCCGAGAAGCACAAAGTGCTTTATGAGCCAAAAAATAGGTACTACAAGGACTTAACTTCTAACGAAAAAGTGTGGGATGAAATTGCTTCTGCTATTTCTGCAGATGGTAAGTCAACAATTTTATTACAAATATTCTGCAAGTTACCTGCCTTTGGGACGTTGGTGTTGGATCCCAGCACGCACAGCGTTTTACACCGTGTTCCCCTAGCGCAAGATATTACGCAGTACGAGAGAACCTCTTGTAATAGAACGTACTCAGTTACTAACGTAACTGCCGTACTCTCTAGAAAAGGGAATGAGTACTGCGTATCTTTTCCGTGCATGCAACACCCTTTGTTTTGCTTCAGTGATGCCGCAGGACTGCCAACAGGCACGTGAGCCATCTTGCCAATGTCTACATGCTGCCGCAACGCGTTTTACATTAATTCAGAATTAAGGATAATTTTTGGCTTCAATATCTCATGGAAAAGAGGTTTTCCCCTAGCATAAGTTATCACCCAGTACTCGTTCCCTCTTCTAGAGAAAACGTTAGGTTACGTTAGAAACTGAGTATGTTTTCGTATTATAAAATATAATCTCATGCATTTATTATTTTGTATGATTGGTGTTTTGAGGACTGTTGTCAAATGGCCATGATCAAACTGGCAGCTTTGTTGGATGCATGGAGTCAGCCGCGGCTGATCAGCATGAGCATCCAGCAAAGCGTCAGTAAGCTGCCAGTCAGGTATGTGGTTTGTGTAACGTTAGCAACACATTATTAGCTGTTTAATAATGGAGTCAAGCAAAAGGCTAATCATAATAATTGCCGTAATATGCCCAACGTTGTTAAGAGCGATACATAAAACACATTACCATTCTGATACATCGACTTGAATAGAAGCCTGTATAATTCACTCTTCCACTTCTTCTGAATCAGTTTCTGGTTCAAACGTAGGCTATATGGCTGAATTAAACCAGTATTATTTACACTTGTCATTGTGTAGCTTTTACTACAGTAAAGTGGACCGAAAGTGAATCAGGTATTTTGAGCTTGTGTGATTGAAACATGGGTGTAGTGAAGTTTTGGTGATCAAAAATGAGTTTTAATTTAATTCACATTTATTTGTATAGCGCTTTTCATAATAAATAATTGTTTCAAAGCAGCTTTACAAAAAATGTTTATCTATATATGTCTACATTACAATTTAGAGTGATCTGTTATCAGACGTGACTTCACAGACATGAAGTTATGCATTTCATAAATGTACATTCATCATCACACAGATAGCTAATAATGTATTAATTTAAACAATGAGCGCATTAGTTTTAAGGGATCAAATTATTGACTACAGGGGGACTTTAAGTTGAACTACTAAAATGACTTAAACTGAAAAAAATAAATAAATAAATAAACCTGTATAGAAATGTTTTTAAAAACGAATAAAAATGACAGACTCGCACAACAAAATTACTTAAATATTGTAATTATATATAAATAATACTAAAATATCACTGGAGTGCACATGTAAGAGTATTTATGTTTGAGTTTAAGCAACGTTTCTTATTCTCTCTTTTCTCTGTTTGTGGTTCTCAGCTGAGGGATCTAAGAGCCATTGGACATAAATTTGTCCATGTTATGTACCCCAAGAAAAGTTCTGCACTACTCAGAGACTGTGAGTCCATTATTTCTGATGACACAATCACAGATTATATTAAGAATGTGCCCCATTTATGATCACTTATTAATGATACATGTTCTCTAGCTGTCCTGATCTTAAGGAGTGTATGTGTTGTCTGTACTTTTTAGGGGACTTATGGGGACCTCTTATCCTCTGTGTGACTCTGGCTTTGTGAGTAGTAATGTTGGCTTGTCTCAGTCAGAACCATTGTCATTATGACTCCAGCAAATGTATTGTATTTATAATAATATTTTCTATCTCAGAATGCTGCAGAGTGGGTCTGCTGACAGTGAGGAGGATGGCAGACCACAGTTTGCAGAAGTCTTTGTCATCATCTGGTTTGGTTCTGTAATCATCACCCTCAACTCCAAACTCCTGGGAGGAACTATGTGAGTAAACAGTCAGATTTTCATTTATATTTCAGTGTTTCCCACTAGATTTTGTGAGACTGGTGGGTGGACCTTGTGAATGTGAATTTAGTGCAGTTCTCTATTGTTTACATTTAGAAGACGTTTTTTATCCAAAGCAACTTACAAAAGAGGAGAGCATTAGGAGCAATCAAATCAACAATAGGGCAACAATATTCAAGTGATGTGACTAGTCCCAGTTATTCTTGCACAGTACACATAGCAAGTTCTTTTTTAATAAATAACAAAAAAATAAATTGATATAATAGAAATAAAAAAGAATAATAAGTGTTGGTATTAATTGGTCAAGTCAAGTGCTGACAAAAAAAAAGAAAAGAAAAAAAGATGTGTCTTTAGCCATTTCTTGAAAATGGCAAAAGACTCAGCAGTTTGGGTTGAGCTCGGGTCATTCCACTAGCTTGGAACAGACGATGTTGTGCCTCTTTGGGATGGCACCACAAGGCGCAGTTCACACACACACACACATACACACGCATACATAGCATTGCATGTTCTGGCACATAAGTCTGAAGCAGTGAGTTTAGGTATAGTATAAAAACAACTTACTTTCTGTAAGGTGTGGAAGGTAATAATTTTTTTCCTCCCATATTTTATTTAACTGTCATAAATTTCAGAATTGCAGCTACTGTTGTGTATAGCTTTTACTTAGCTCTCTTATTTTAACCCCTCCAGCTAAAATCAGTAACAGTTGATTGTTCATTTATTAGCAACATTAGTTTTCTGAATTTGCTAACTGTTCATCAGCTTCTTGACAATTTACGCTGCATAATAATTGTAGCTGTTTTAATGTTTGAGCACATTACTGGAACAATGTCATTCCTTCTGTCCATGTATCTGTCTTACTCACTCTTTGTCTGTCTGTACAGATCATTTTTCCAGAGTCTGTGTGTGTTGGGGTACTGTATTCTTCCTCTGACCGTGGCCATGATAGTTTGTCGTATCGTTCTCCTGGGGGGCTCAGGCAGCTTCGTTTTTGCTGTCCGTCTTATAGTGGTCACCGCATCCTTCAGCTGGTCAACATTTGGTAAGAACCAATCAAATTCATTTATCTATTTTCAGCAATCACAGACGCCTAAACGACATGAGATCGCCCTGCTTAAATTATTCAGATTTCTGTTTATAGCCCTAATGTTTAGAATCCATTAGGGGTGTAACAATATATTGTGCCACAATATATCGCAATACACAAATGCAACAATACGTATCGTGGATAGTGACAAAATGTATCGTGGATAGTCCCCCCAAAATAAAAATTACTGTAGTTTTAGTGTCAGTACTACATTAAACTACTATATATAATGTATAATAATGCTTGTATTATATTTGTATTTTATTTATTTGTGGATCCTGATAATGCCAAATGTCTGATGTTACCATTAAAAAGTGACCGATATTATTTTAAATATATCTAGTCAGTGACAGAGTACAAGCATATTTTTCTAAAATAATTCTGTATTTTCAGCTTCAGAATCATGAATATTGTTATTTTGGTGTCACCATTGTCCTTTGGTTACAAGCACCGAGTCCAACCCTATTCATGTAAACCCACAATGTAATATCAAAGTTAGCATTTAAATCAACAGCACAGTTTTTGTTAACCGTTTATCATCCGTCTTGGAGTATCGCAGTAATATCGTATCGTGAGTTGTATCGAATCATGACATGAGGGTATCGTTACACCTCTAGAATCCGTGTTTTTGTCTCTGGCAGTGTGTGCAGCCACCACCAGGGGGCTGTGTAGACTAATTTACTGTTGTTGTCTGGGGGTTTAGTGCTTTCATACCCATGAGGAAAATCCATACATTTAGTGGCTCTCCATGGAAATAAACAAGTAAATGTAAAATAAAAATATGTTTTTTGCACAGAGAAATTACAAATTAATGAATTACAAATGTACCATCAATTAAGTGCTATTAATAACCAGTTACTGTAGTGGTAAAGAAGAAAATATGATTAGATGTACCAGTAATACTGTGGAGAGTGGAGGCACAGAAGTCAGATCACTCAACTTATTGTCTTCTCCTTGAACACACAGTCTTTAGGGGATATCAGTGAGATCTTAATCTGTATCTCTCTATGTTTGTTTCATTCACAGCCTCCACAGCATTTCTTGCTGACAGCCAACCAGCCAATAGGAAAGCCCTGGTCGTGTATCCAGTGTTTCTGTTCTACTTTGTGATTGGCTGGATGATCTTGACATTTTCACCTTCTCATTAGCATATACATACCCCATGCCAATTGCAAAATGAACTTCTCTCCTTTATTAAGACAACCAGCAGACCATCTGGGAGCTGGCTAGTGATTGGCCTAGCCTAAAAACAGGCAGAGCACTTTGATGGACATTCAGAAAGGGACTGAAGACAGTAAGGGGATTATTGCATAGATTTCACTCCTCCCCATCCCTCATTCAGTTGAATAAGAAAGGAAAGGAGTAGAGGAGACTAATTCTTCAGCGCTACTAATTTAACAACTGCCTACATATCTTCATTATGTGAATCTTTCGTGGTGTGAGGAATGTTAGTGCCCCTTCTGAGCAGTTCCAGATGTACTCACACCCTAACACGGAGCCGTTCTATCTTCTGTGTGTCTCGGGTAGGACTTTATGTGTGAATGTGCAGTGATTGAGCAGTGCCACTGTTGGCTCTGTTGAGAGAATTATTCAGCTATCATCAGGCGGCACATTCACGTCAGTCCCCTCACATCGCTGCACACAAAATCTTTTCTTTGGTGTTTTCTTTTTTGTTCTGAATGAGGTTTGCGCTTCATTAGATTTGTTTTTTTTTTCCGGTGGAAGTTAATACATTCCAGAATGAAATAAACATATACTTTATATGTGCTGCATAGACTCTGGGTTCTGTCATTTTCTGCCCATGGAAAAACGGAAAATAAAAAATGGAACTTGAGGTTGGATTGGAAGTGCTGTTTCTGTCTGTATATATGTGGTTCTTCATTTAGAGGATCATTTCACACACATATTCCTATCTGTCTGACAAAGACACATTATCTCCTCATATACATTACAGACACACATATGCAACCTGTCTTTCTGTTTCCCTTACACAGAAACACAGTCTTCACTCTTCTCTCTTTCTCTCTGCCGTTGCAAAAGTAATTAGACTTCCCATATTGAATGTCTAAAAAAAGACTTTAATTTTCACTTTCAAAGCATTGCAGCATCTGAACCATAAGGTGCAACTGAGGTGTCATTGTGATTAAATAAAGGTGTGTGAGTGTGAGAAAATCGTCATTGTTTCTTCTGACCTTTATATGTGTGCGTCTAATGGTGTTGTGATTGCTCAGCTGACCTCTTGTGAACACAAAAAAAGACATTTTGATTCTGTTTTCATTTTTCAAAGCAATGGAAGTCACTGGTCATGGAAAAGGTTTGTTAACAACATTCTTAAAAATATGTTCCACGGAACAAAATAAAGTCAGAAGTTTGAGGCAAGAGAGTGAGTAAGTGACACAATTTTCATTTTTGGGTCAAATATCCCTTTGTGGCATTATCAGCACAGTTTATGGATGTCAAGCTCTGTGTCTGAATTTTATACTCTACGACAGACTCATTTTCTGTAGCTCAAACAACAGAGCATTAGCACTTGCAACACCAAGATCACGGGTTCGATTCCCAGGGAAAGCAATAACTGATAAGAATGTAAATGCGTACCTTGAAATGCAAAGTCATTTTGGATAAAAGAGTCTGCCAAATGCGTAAATGTAAGATGGATCTCAATGTCCATAGGGTGGTGATCGTGCAATGGGTAAGACACATGCCTTTGGTGTGAGAGACCTAGGTCGAATCCACTGCGAAACACCAATGTATCCCTGAGCAAGACACTTAACCCCTAGTTGCTCCAGAGGTGTGCAACCTCCGCTTTGGATAAATGTGTCGGATAAATGTTCATGTAATGTTTCTGACATTTCTCAATCTGTTTTGCTCAATATAGAAAACCAAAGGAAGATGGAGCAAATGTGGGAAAACAACAGCTAAGACTGATCTCTAGTTATATTTGCTGTTAATGTGATCTTGTCAATTAATTAAATATAATTAATGTTAATGGTAATGTCTCTGTTCCTTTAAAATAGCTTATTGAAACTTTGTTCCTCCATCCAGACTCAAAAGCAAAGAGTTAGTCCATTCCAAAACATCGAGTTAGACATTTGGAGAAGCAGTAGCAGCAGTTCAAATACATTTGAGTCATTTGTCAGATGCAGGTTATTCCCAGCGAAAATGTGTATTCAGAATGCACCATAAATTGCTCTGAATAAACATATCTGCCAAATGCATGGATGTAAATGTAGTGATCAGATCCACCACGTTACAGTTTAACAGAAAGAGAAATGGCAGCGTTTGACTGGATTGCAAAAGAGAACAAAATTTTGTTGATTATTCTTATACAACACCAGATAAACTTTGCATCATGTTTATGGATAGTATGTCCTAAAACAGGCAAGCATACAACATATAGTACATGTATACATAAATAAATACAATCCTTACCTGAGTATAAAATACCCTTGTATATAAACAGACTTCGAACACCAGCCCATTTTATGTATAAAAACATGGTTTATAAAATACAAATTGATGGTTAAAGTCTTTTTCTGCACAATCTTCCCAGTTATTTTGGACAACTTTTCACCATGCAGCTTTGGCCCCTCTTTTCCAATTTATTCCAATTATTCCAAGTGTCTGAAAAATTATTTGCAGTGTATAATTTTGATTATCTAAAATGTCCTCACCAAAAAACTACAAGATAATTTACTGAAGACTTCAAAGTCGTTATAGTCCGTGGATTCTAGCATGAGGCACATAAAAGTGGATCTTCTCCTGATAATTGATATGCGTCAGTCTGGAGTGTGAGCTTTATTTTAGTGAAACAAAATGCAGACGTATCTAGTATGATGTACTTGCCAAGAAGGATCAAACAAGTGACAAGTGATCTATTGGTAAAGAAAACTTTAAGATGACTGACAGTATAAATAGCATATTCAAAAACTGAATCCACTACACGTTTATATTCTACATAGTCAAAGGCCTGGCATGTTCAGAATAGGAATAATTTAGGCCATAAAATTGTTCCTACATTGCAAAAGACGAGAATGGGGGAATCAAACTTTCAAACACCAAATATACGTACAGTAATAATGGAATATAAAGGTAATTCATACAAGTCACATGGTTTAACCAGTCTTTTTGTTTTGAGTGAGAACAGACCAAACACTTTTTACCATACATCTTGCAATTGCATCCTCTAGTTTTGTGGTCTCTCTGGTTTGTGGTATATTTGATATCAGAGTAAATGACTGGTAGATTAATGGTCCTTTACCTTTCTGTTCCTTTTGGAGCTTGAAGGTTTGGTCACCATTCAAACAGACATAATTTCTCCATGAGAGTATCTTAATTCGTGCTTGAAGAGAAAGTCCTGTGAGTTTGAGACAACATAAGGGTTAGTAAAGGGTTAGTTAGTAGGGTTAGGTGAAGAATTACTATACAGGTGTTCATACAAACAATATAGGTAGGTAATCTTATGTTTTTTTTTTAAGAATAATGGTCCATTCACGTGGTAATAATGGCAAAAAAGCCAATGTGGAAAATGCACATGGACACCCCCTCATGTGGTATTTTCCACTGGGCAGCTCGTAGAATATTTTGATGCGCGAGTTGCCGAGATGAGAATGACCTTTTCAAAATGGCGGAGAGCAACGCGATAGTCGTGAATGGTAAAAATATGTACTATTAATGATCTAGAAAATATACAGCATATTATTTACCGTTTGAGTTTTGATAATTCATTTTCTTGCTGTAGCAGATGACTTAAGGATTCTAAAATAGTTTTAGCTAAATTACAGGCCTGGATCTCCGCATTTTTACCACATTATGACAACAAAAGCACTTGAAAGCAACACACGTAAATACCAGTTTACAAGTTAAAAATATCATATTTTCCATAGCACATGAACGCATCATGAGTCATTTGCTTCTCTACAAAGTGAGGCTTCAGGAGTTGTACTACGTATTGTTCAAGGACAATGAAAACACAGTACATTTTTTCTCATGCTATCCCGTCATGTAATAACAGAAGGTAAATGTCATGAACCAATGGGCAGCCCTCCGACACTTTCAACACATGCTCCTTTCCAGCCCTCCTTTTTCTCCCACATTTCTTCCTGTCTTCTCTGTTCTGCACTATACAAATAATAAGCCTAAAATGCCAGTGTGTATGCGTGTGTGTGAGAAAGCGAAAGAGAGGCTTTTTTATTACATTAATAAGAGAGTTTCACTGCTGGGGCAGAGGAGAAAGGTCACTTTTAACTGTGAAAGATCCCTCAGAGCAGCTGCTCCAAATCTCTAACGTGATCATTACAGCATTTTCAGATTCCAGACTACACTCTCTTTTTCTCTGCACTTCTAACATTTTCGGAGAAGATGGTGGTGCACTGTGGCCCAGCTGAGGTGTTTTTCACCCGCTCACCAGGACAGAAGTAGCACCGCTTGGACTCATCATGGCTCTGTCACAGCAGTCAATCAAGATCCATCTTTAAAGTGGCGAATGAACTAACCGAGGAGGTCCTTCTTCCTCTAACTCTCACTGGGCCCTGCACCTTGCTTTAGGAAGCATCTAAAAATTGTATCGTGTATATGTTTGCACAAGCTAAGCAATTCAGCTCTCCAGTAAACTCTGGTGAGCGACAGCGACGTGTCTGCTTCATGGCACTCATGACATTCAAAGTTTGATTAATAAACCTGACTGATGTTCTTTTCACTCTACACAACTGTATGTAGATGTCATTTCCAGTCAAAACACATTTTACACTACAAGACTTGAATCGCAGACAGATCAATTTAACATGCTAACACATCAGCGCTTCTCACAGATCGCATCTTTGATTATTCGAAAAACAGTGATTTTTTGCCTATGATTTTACAGGCTTCTGTCGGCAGTCTCCATGAACTGATTTCAGAGCTAAAATCGTGTAGTGTGGCTCTATTAGTATGTCATATATGCCTATACCATTTGCTTGTGCTTGTGATTGAGCTCGTGATACTTAAGTCAGTCCTGCACAATTAAAAAAAGAACAACAGAAGCTCAGGAAAGCAAAATTTCTCAGATTAGAACCTTTTCAGAACATCAGTGAAGGACGACACCGAGCCTGTCTCTAAAAAAAAGAGGTATTTGTGACCTGAATGTCAAAAGAACATTTGTTGCCTGCATTCCTGTATTTGATATTGATGCCTATAGAATCCTATTCTCTGCTCACAGGCGGTGAGTGCTGCAGATTGCTCTTTCAAACCATCAGTGCCAGATCAGAAGCACATTTAAACAGGTCCGGGTAACAGCACTTTTCCAACAGCATCTAGTTGCAATAAAATGTTCTCTGAAAAGGTGTAACCTTGAAGGCAGAAACTGGCTTCATAGTTATCTAAACCTTTTCCATTTGATAGCTAAACTGTTATGGCTGATTATAAGAACTGCATCATGTGATTGTTGGAGCTGTTATATCATTGATGCACTTCATGTTTAAAATTGGGTTTACCTCAGTCCAGTTAATATTATGTTTGTTGTTTAATTTGATATTTTAGCTGGATGTTTTTCACAGACAGAGCCATGAAGGAAACTCTTTATTCTTGCAAGGTCTGGTGATTCATCTCTGTCAATTATAGCAAATTTCTTTGCCAAAATGTTTGTATTATTTTCATTTTATTATATCCAGTTACGGTCATCATTTTCTCTGAGTGGAACTGATCAAACTTCATCTCTTCAGAACCTAACCATTGTCTGAAATGATTAAAAAATGGTTGTAAATTGAAAAAGAGAGAATCATTATAATTTTATTAGATAGGGAAATATTCCATAGTGCGCCTTTGAATGACATAATAGTAATAATAATAAAAAAACTCATTCAGTAAGTAATATTCAGAGTTTTGGAAATTAATAAAGGACTGCATATTGTAGTCTGCACTGACTGAGAAATTGATTCATTTTTCTTTCTGATTGAGCTAGAATTTGTCAAATAATTTAAGTTAGTGAATATTGATTGACAGGTCATTTACAGTATCTTTTCTCTGTAGTTCTAAAACACAGTTTGACAGAGAAAGAGAAGATGAGAATGATGATGAAAGAATTATATTGACCGTTGTTGTTTTTAACGGGATATTGCAGGGTGACAATTACAAATGAAAAATGATGACTTGGAAATTATGTTTTTGTCCCTAGGTTTTTAACTATACAGATTTAACATCTTTATTACTGTAATTAGCTCTGAAAATAATCAAACTGTCTGAAAATTTTAATATTTTTTAATATATTTAAGGAAGGCACTTTACACCAGGTTGTTATACGGAGTTTCGCTATGCAATGAGTGAAATTTTGGAAATAAATCCTACTGGTCCTGTCTGTGTAGTGATAAGAATAAAGTCCAAATTACTTAAAATAAGCAGAATGATATCACAAATGAGTTAGAGGAAAATCTGCTGTCGGAGGTGCTTATGGGACTCAAGGATAAATTCATATACTATGCCTGCAAAAGAGTGTTTGTGTGTGTGTGTGTGTGTGTGAGAGAGAGAGATCTGGCATGTTCGAGTGGGAGATTGAAAACACTGTTCATTTTGTTTTCTGTGTTTTTGATAGAGTGGGTGCGGGTTCTCAAGAGAGCTACTGATGACTAAACAGATGTGTGTCTGTTTGCCTAGGGATCTAATATAATAGTCAGAAAAAGAGCTGAGGTGTAAAATCGCTTTCATATTTTAGTGTGTCATCGATTTTTGGCTATAATGTGGTTTTGTGTTCATGCTATCTCAGTCACTGAAGTACTTTTTTCCCCACATCTTCACTTGTGATATAAGGTAGTGTTTCCCAACAAAAGGAACGCTAAAAACAGCACATTTTCAGTATCCAAAATGTGCAAACAGAAACACGGGCTTAGTTTTATATCATTTTATCTGTTTCAGTTATAATGTGCACAAATGTATGCACTTGCACACATTACGATCTTTGTGTATTGCGATTTACAGTAGGTGTTACAACAGTCCATGCCTTGTGAGGTATAAGACCGGCTGGGCTTCTATGCTTTTCCCTTTGTGTGTTAGCATTTAGCGCTAGCTACAGTGGTATGCAGAGAATCTCTCCTCTTGGCCAGCTGAAATATGGTCTTGTGGCCCCTCCCTATCTGCCTCTTCAAGCCGTTGAGCTCGGGACCATCAGACTCTCAGAGAGCCGTTAATCTGCATAGCATAGACTCAAACGCGGCAACCTTCATGACTGTTCACCCTTGACCTTTTGAACCTGACTCTCAGTGTGGGTACCTGTGAACATGGCTTTTATCAACTGTCTAAGAGCACTAGTCAACCAGGCTAAGGTAAGACAAAGCGAGAGAGAGTGAGAGAAAGAGAGAAACACACAAAACACATAGTATAGATTTAAAAGCATGAGAAAACTGAGAGTCATGCTTTGATTGACAGCTGTCAGGACCAGGTCTGTTTAAGAATTAAAACAGCTCTGTGTCGTTGCAGGCACTGAACACTAACAAAAAGTACCAAAAGTTCCATGATGTTCCCATGTTCTGGGGCATTTTTTTTTTCATATATATACTGTCATAGTACCATCACAGTACTTTGTGTGTAAGGGAAACAACTCTCAAAAGTTTATGATTGTCAGTTAAGGGTAAATGTTTTCTTTTTTGAAAAGGAATGTTTTGTAGTATATATGTGGGAATAGTTGTTAGAAGGCACTTTGTGAGCATGTGTAAGTGTTTGGGCTGATGCAGTGGGCGTAGGAAATTATCATTTGCTGAACTGGACTCTCTCACTGAGAGACGGCCAAAACTCTGTTACCAGGGCAACGTCTTTTTAAAAGCACCCTTTCAGCCTTTCCGCATTGCTCAGCCAATGGGCTACACTGAAAAACCCATGACATCATAACGTTCCTAAGTGAGAGATCCTTATATATTTACTTTTTTTTTCCGTTGCAGACTTGGGATACAGTGGAATGTCTGTCCAACTGAAATTACTGAAACACATTTTGATTCAGTTGCACACTAAACAGACACTGCTATTCTATATATACTGTATATATATATATATTGGGCAGAATGTCAGAGTTGGAATAAATTTACTGTATTATAAATGTATAGTATAAATACATTTATAATACAGTAAATTTTTATTAAAAAAATATTTTTTATAATGTTTTTTAAAGTCTCTTATGGTCACCAAGACTATTAGAAATAATTAAATGTGTTTTAATATATTTTACTAAAACTAAAGCTGAATATTCAGCATAATTTCTTCACCAGTCTTCAGTGTCACATGATCCTTAATTCAGAAATCATTCTAATACAGTATGTTGATTTTCTGCTCATGAAACATTTCTTATTATTTTCTGGATTATATATAAGTAATAGGAAGTTCAAAAGAACTTCATTTATTTGAAATAGAATTAGCAACATTATCAATGTCTTTACAATCATTTTGATCACCTTTTGCTTTGCTTTTAGTCTGAAGAAAAGTCTGTTTTGCCTTACAGTGTAAAAAAATTGTAATTCGTGCCTCCTTGAGGGTTTATTTTATCAAGCTGATTCTGAAGCGAGAGTGAGAGTACAAAGAGAAAACCAGACACAGACCTTGTTGTTAGATTTCATCAAATATGATTGTACAATTTTTCCTGATGTTTCAGAAGCTGACCTGCTGTCGTGTCCAGCGCTCAGGTAAGGAAGTGAGATTCTATTATACTGTAGCTGAATGGCTTTATAACCACATTATTACTGCTGCTATAGCACCTATAGAAAAACACTGCAACTAGCTACATTATTTAAAAGTGATGTGGACACAGCTCAGCCTGAAACAACTACATTTAACTCTCTCTCTGCTGTTAATTAAATGCTTTCATGTTATCACATAAAGTTTGAGCTGTTCTCCTTGAACACTCTGTGCAGTCATCTATTGTAGATGTCATCCAGTTGCATTTTAAGAAAGTAATGGTATCATGTGACACAGAAAGTAGATCATACTATTTATAACACACCTCAGATGACATGGATATCTAATATCTAATTATTCACCACAAACTACTGAGGCACGTGGATTCCCTGTGTGCCATTTTAGGAGCCACTCTCTGGAAGCGTTTGAATATAAAAAAACAAAAGTTATAGCCTAACTTTATTACATTTAAATCTTTTATTTGGATGATTACCTGCTGATCTATTCATGTATTAAAACAATATTAGAATTGTTTTGAACAATTTCTTATTCTAATTTAAAAATAATCAGACTAACAAATATTCACTCAGCCCCCTTTTAGGGCACACCTTATTCAGTTTCTGCTGGGACATTATGATTATGTTTTATTTGACTCTAATTATAATTTTATGAATGTTTGTAGTTGCAAACAGACTACTGTATGTGGTTCTTTAGGTGTAAAATACACACAGACAAGGCATTTCAGTCCACATGATTGCTCGTTTTTTTCTTCTTCTTTAAATAGCCTACTGCAAGTGCCTTTCCTGTTAATGGTTGTTCACTCAGTGTAATTGCTTTATTTCTCACTGTTCAATCTCTGGCATGTGAACAAACTTTAGAAATGTTCTTCTCATTGATCTTCAGATTAGATCTTTATTTAGTCACATAGTTTGGTCAAGCACATACGTGTGAGATATTTACTGTGTATATATACACTGCCATTCAGATCAAAGCCACGAGCTTTGAGTCCACAAGCATCAGGAGCCTAGAACCAGACTGGATAATTTAAATATTGTATTATTTTTAATTTGTTGTTACATTCACCCTATGGCAACATAAACCCTTTTGTCCAGGTGTTTTTAATAAGATAAGGACATTATGTGAAATAATTATTTTTAAGAATTAGGTCTAATTTAATTAATTATTTTGTAATTAAATTAACATTGTTTAAGAACCAAACAAGCAAACATTGATGTTCATTTTTAATTATTAAAAAAATGTTGTCAAATAACATTTGGGGACACATTATCGCTTGATCAATTTTTATATTACCTAGATGTTTAGGTTATAGCCTATTTATAACCTGTGGGCATTTAACGTGTCCTTTGCATGAAGAAACACAGACACAAAAAAACCCTACAATAGGCACATCAAACAAGGGCTGTTAAAAAAAAAGACGGAAACTACTAGTACAGTCAAAAGACGCACGCCTAAAGAGACTTCATGTCCCATGATGCTTAGCGGTTTGAATGGTTACACGCAGCGTCCACGTAAAGTCCTTTTAATGAGATTTTTTTAAAGAAATGAAACGATAGCGGTAACATAATGATAAAGCAGCATGAATAATCACTGCTCCGTCTCAGGACTAAGACCTCGAACGCATTTGAGTCTCAAAAAGAAGAGGTCCAAGGTTAAAAGTTGGGTTCAGAAGTCAGGAGAGAGTTAGCGAAGGAGTTTGGAAATGGATAAACGCTGCAATGGCCAACAGACGCGATCTCTAACTTCACAGTTCAGAGATTCTACATACAGAGCCCTGACTTTACTGCGAAGGAAGGCGAAACAGCAGCAAATAGCGGGTAAGTTATGCAGTCAAACGGTTTTTTTTACGGGGAGGGTGAAACATAAACGAGTCAGTCCATTTATAACCTTCCAACAGGGCACGAAAGTCTTTCCAAATATGCTTTATACGGTTATTATTAGCATTTAATGTAATAATAAATTACATATGTTTGTGTTACATCATTAAATATGTAATGAAATATTATAATATAATCAGTATTTATGTGCAATAATGAAACGAACCCTGAGGTTTCCTTAATGCATTGATGAATCCTCTGAAATGTACCGTGGTAACCATGGATTCCGCTAATGTTAGTCAATTGGTTGGATCTGTGTAAGGAATCCCAGGTGATGTTAGAATTTTCTTTCTTTTTTTTTTTTTTTTTTTTTTTTTTTTATGACAGCCTATCACATACAAAGTTTACTAAGCCGATTTTGAGTTTTCTGTTGAAACTATAACTGTGGTTTCCCATGGACCAGGCTACTTGAGTGTGCACACGCTGCCACGTTTATGCATACAGCTGAAATAAAAGATCTATTCATTCATTTTAGAGGCCAACAACCACTCGCACGCGACTGTGGGAAACTCAGAGAGCTAGGTGTGAGTGAGGCAGTGAGAAATCAGTTTACAGTACACCAGTCTCCTTGATACAGTCGGCACTAGTCGTCATAGCTGGGGGCGTGAAAAGGGTGGAGTCGGCGATGGGGAAAACACGCAAACATCGTGTGTATTTGAAAGACAAAAATGTCATATTGTGAGGATTGTGAGTCATTGACGCCTGCCGACCGACCGGCAAAATGAATTGCAATAGGTTATGATTGGCCTTATTTAATTAAAAACTGTGTCAATGACCCAACCAAATGGCCGGAGTGTCGTTTCCAGACCAAGGCTGCGTTCCAGTCCACAGACACGCACTTGCGAACTTTCCTATAAGCACTTACCCTCGGGGGAATCCCTGCCGCCATTTTGAAGTGCGTTCCACTTCGTGAAGTGAACGAGGAAAGTTTATATGGACAGATTTAGACCGAGGGAGCGAGTCAACTTATGTACACTTCAGGCATCTATATATCCCACAATCAGTACGATTGTGACGTAACCACAGATCGTCTAATCACCACCACAACAAACACTCTATGATATTAATTATAATTTCATTTATTTTAAAATAACCCAAACACACGTACTATATACATGTGGATGCTGCATTAAACAAATTCGTAAAGGGGAAAAAAGTAAATAATAAATCAACTCATAGCTGATTCAAAGTGATCAAGGGCTTAGGACGTTCCAGTTCAGCTCATTGCGGTTTCCGCCAGTAGTGGGCACTCGTGCAACTTAAGCAATGACGTACATCCGAGTGAACGAGACGGAGGGAAGTTAGCGAGTGAAGGGCATGGCAATTTTGGACTGGAACGCAAGGGGGTAATCCATCAGCCGGAAGTTGAAGCTGCCTCCGGGGGCTGCCATTGTAGCGGGCTATCACCAGCTGTTAGCATCCCATTGACTCCTATTCATTTTGGCGTCACTTTGATAGCGATTAACTTTACATCTGAGGCGTCCAAAGAACATACTTTTTATGTTACGTTATGGCCACGTAGAAGCCGTTCTTGTAAAAATAGGCTAAAAATTGCGTCATATCCACTCGACTGTCCGTCACACAGTAGAGAAGTTACCGTATAGACAGGAGGAGTAGCTCGCCTCGCACAGCCTCGCAGGCAATCTTTTACTGTCTAAAGTCAGCCCATGGCATAGAAGCAAAATGACAAAATTATTAATCAGAATACCAAAAGTTGCTCCAATTAAAATTTGTCTTGGCACAGCTACTCAAAGATTTACAACTGCCAGTCAGTTTGCTCACGTGACATCTACGTCGTCAAGCTCAGTTTGAGCTTGCGCAGAACGCTTAGCTATCAGGAAGTGAGTGCCCATGTTGAGCTTCAACTCTATCCGTTGAAATCAACCGGGTCGCTGTGTCCATTTCTTTTGCTGGAACGCAACACAAGCGTGCCGCACAAGCCCTCAAAAGTGAAGCCAAAACGTCTCGATCGCCCCCCAGTGACCGGTCCTAGTATAGGTCAACCCCGCCTCCCCGTGTTATTCAATGGTACGTGAGACCTAAACAATTAGAGATAGTTCACTTTGAAATTAATTTTTGGTATGTTTTAGCTTACCTCAAGGGCATCCAAGATGTAGGTGTCGTTAATGTATATTTAAAACCACTAATAACCACTTTGGTTGCTCAAAAGGCTTTTATCTGGAGAAAGAAAGAGTGTGAGAGTCGAGAATCTGAAATTGCTTTCAATTAACATAACTGACAAATCTGTGTGTTTTCATGTTTGGTTTTATAACAATCCCTACTTTTTTTTCTTTTTTTGATTTATGGGGCAACTTTCTGCTGATCTCATTACAAACATGACAGTGCTAGTTTCCAATTTACATAGAGACTCCAATAATCTTGATGAGTTTTCAAGTTGCTGCAATTAACCCGGTTTGAAAGTGCACCGCCTGTCCTTTGAAATAGTCAAATCATGTTGGAATTGTTTGCTTCTATTCGTTTACAGATAATTTGCATTTCCTCTTTCATGTGATTTGTTTGAGCATGTGAGGATCATGTTTATCCTTGAACAGAGAGTATTACATACTCAGTCTGGGCTTAACTATAAGGGCCAGCTAATTTTTACTTGCCATGCCAAAACGCTCACTCACCCTGCCACAATAAATAAAGTAGGTCTAGTTATTGTTTTTGACCCATAGCTTAATAAATAAGATTATGATGACACCAAAAACTTCTTGCCTGACTAAATGTTGTTGAAAACAAGTAAACTGCCAGTAATAAAATAATAAGAAATAATCAAAATGAGCAATAGCACAAATAAATACAATAAATAAATACAATTGAACAAATACAAATGAAATAAACATTGCTTTTCATGTGTTTTATGACGTGAACTGTATTCACTTCAGACATAACAGACTATGGCTGTCTCATTTCGAAGGCTGCATCCTCCGGAGGTCGTATTTGTCAGCTTCATACATCGAGGCTGCTTAATTTCAGTAAACTGACCACTACATAAATTCATTTAGAAATTACTACAATTTACAATTCACTAGGAATAAAGGTCGATTATATAATGGTTATACTGTTCTGAAATAAGACGTCCTTTATGACGTATGCGGCCTACAAATGCAACTTCCGGAGGACGCAGCCTTCGAAATGTGGCGCTCTATGTTTACGAGGATTCTCGCCGATACGGGCATTTTGACCTAATTTTCTATTCGTTTTGTAATGTGCTCTGAAGCGCAAGAAGATGTGAAAGATTTCATTTCAGTATTCACGCCCTTTCTGAGATGCGGATTTCTAGGCCTGCCCTTTGGATGTATGCGCACAAAACTTCTCACACAGTCATTGCCAAATTTGAGTTCTCTTGCACGTCTATAAATATGTAAAATGGCTTAAACACGTATGATAAAGTTCCCAGTTCCTGTCCTGACGCCGGCGACATCGGGCAGTCCTTATTGTCGAGCCCTGTCAGCATTTCTGATGCAAAAGTTTTATAATATAATTTATTTAGTTTATAATTTTATTTTTAATGAATTTTTTTTTTATTTAAGTATTATTTATTTTGGAGCTGTGTCTTTAAAGAGTCCTGACCTGTGTAGATGCCCTCTTGAAGAGATAAAATGAGATTACAATTTTGAGCTCACGTTTTCCTGTTGAATCCAATATAGTTTTAAGTGGACCTTCATTCAATATAACAGCCTCTTTGAAAAACTTCACTGCATTGTGCATTGCACATTCACTCACAAACAATGTACAAACTGTACAGATCAGATTGTTATGATCAAGGATCTTGTACAAGTAAACTAGCAATTATTTTTAAATGGTGGGATCGTTCAGAAAAATTTGTAGAGTGGAAGGTGTATGACATAACCCTTTTGGGTGCGGGCAGTGAGCGTGTCATTTGCTGGTGTGACTTTATGGTTTGAATCTGTGTATGATCATGTCATGATACAGTAGTAACATAGAATGTCAGCTGAGAGGAAGCAAGTCATGAAAATCCACAGTGTTGCAACAAAAAAGTACAGGAAAAAAATCCTTGTTCTCTATTTCCAGGTTTATCATAATATACAGTATATATATTATATTTATTGGCCAAGTGTGACTGTTTACTTGTAACTGGCACTGACTTACATCCAGACAGTATACTATATGGTGTCCAAATGTTGTCAAACTTAGAGCATTAGCTGCTTTTTTCCATGGAGTATTAGATGAGATTAATGATGACTGTTCTAATACTGAAAGGCCAGGAAAATGTATGTCGTCTGTAAGTCTTGTCTGGTTTTTATATTCTTGTGCTACTTGCTTTACTCAAAATGTAGGGATCTGCCAATTGGTTGATCTCAAAATACATTTTTTAAGATAATGAAAATAGGCTAAATACATTAAGTAGTAGTCAAATGTTTCATTGTCTTTCTTACAGTAAAATGTAAATTGTTTAAAATTAAATTATGCTTTCATACACAGTTACAAAATTATATTTTAAATAAATTTTGTTCTTCTGAACTTTATATTCCTCAAAGAATCTTAAAAAATATTAAGCTGTATTCAGTAACTATTTTTAACATTAAAGGGGCTATGTGTAGGTTTTTACTTAAAAAAAATCTTTAAGATAGAGACAGAGTCTTCATTTGTACATTTATGAGCCAACCATAATGTAATAGAACGAATGATACCTTGACTGTTCACCACGGTTGCCTCTATCAGCCTGTAGGCTCAATTGTGTGTGGAAGGAGTCGGGTCCGAATTGGTGTGAAAATTCACAAAATGGGACATCATGCGTGTTCTCGTCTACTTGGGCTTACATACGTACGGCAGCCATTAGTAAGCAGTGGTAAGCATTAGCAGTAGTGTGTCAAGTGGACTTTGCGGACTGAAAGAAGCGACCAGCCTCTAGCACAATCCAGATACCCACGGAAAAAAAAAAAATCCTTATCGTGCGCACCGAGAATGAGCAT